AATATTTGCCGAATTTCCTTTTTAGTTTGTGGAGGTCTTAAGGATAGGATTCCAGATACTTAAGCTGGTTATTAGTTAATTTTTCATATAGAAATTTCACCTTTTCACTATAGCTTTCAAGCCATGGTCTACAATATCCTAATAATCCAAATATTTGCCGAATTTCCTTTTTAGTTTGTGGAGGTCTTAAGGATAGGATTCCAGATACCCTGTCAGGATCTAACTTCTTTTTTCCCTGACTCAGCCAATGCCCTAAGTATTTTACCTCCCATTCTACAAACTGTAACTTTGATCGGGACACCTTCAATCCCTTTTCTCCTAGGAAATCTAACAATTTAATAGTGGCTTCCCGAGTTCCCTCTTCAGTTTCCCCTGCTACCAATAAATCATCCACATATTGCAATAATTTTACCTCCCTGGGTAATGTAAAATCTTGTAAAACTTTCTCTAAAGCTTGTCCGAACAGATTTGGTGACTCTGTAAATCCCTGTGGTAGCACAGTCCATCTTGTTTTCGTCCCGTTTCGGGGTCCTCCCACTCAAAGGCAAAATAATCCCTGGATCCCTCGTCCAGAGGACAGGTCCAAAAAGCGTCTTTCAGATCTATGACACTATACCAAGTGTGCCTGGGAGGAATATGACTCAGTAAAGTATAGGGATTTGCCACCACAGGGAACTTAGTGATCGTCCGCTGATTTACAGCTCTTAAATCCTTTATCATCCTATACGACCCATCCGGTTTCTTTACGGGAAGGATAGGTGTATTATGAGGTGACACACATGGTTCCAGAGTCCCTTTTTCCGTAAGCCTATCAACTACCGGTTTGAATCCTTTTCGGCCCTCCATTGGTATAGGGTATTGTTTTACTCTAATTGGACGATGTGGATTATTATTTTAACATTTATGGGGTCCATTTCTATCTTTCCAGTTTCCCCCTCCTCATACCATACTGAAGGGTGAATGGCCTCCTCATCCTCTTGTGTTAAAGAGTATAACTTCATTTGCAGTCTATCTCCTTGGCTCTGAATGCTCAAGTTTAACTTCAAAATTAAATCCCTTCCTAACAAATTGTACTCTGCCTCAGGAAGCAAAAGTAAATCATTAAGGCAAATTTTCTTCTCTGTTTCTACTTCTACATCTCTTAAGACTGGTACTTTAAAAGGCTCTCCTTTTGCTCCTATTACTGACATATAACTTTTCCCTTTTTCAGTTCCTTTTGGAAGTTTTTGAATAGTGGATTTTTCAGCCCCTGTATCCACTAAAAATAAGACTTCCTCTTTATGGGGACCAATTAATAATTTTATCAAGGGCTCCGTTGATGTTGAAGTCCCCAGAAGATATAGCCCCTGACACCCCTAGTCTTCTTTAAATATTTTCTCATCTTGTTCCCCTTTACGGCAGTTTCTCTGAATATGTCCTCTTTTATTACAATAATAACAAACGGGAATTGTGAATCTCTCTCGGTAAGGCTGTCCCCTGGGTGTTTTCCCTATCCCTTTTCCCCCTTTTCTTCGGACGGGGTCTGATTCTTCTGGCTCTGAGGAGAGCTGCGGCTCGCTGGTGTGGGCAGGGGAACACCCGCCATGCTGCTGGCAACGCGGTGCCCCAC